AAATAGGAGGAGGAAGGAGTACTAGGTTGTTTGCCACCTTGAGTTATTTATAAAAAATAATAAAGGTGGGATAAAACATCTAAAAAAGGGGGGAGGGGCTCGCCAGGACTGGCTGGGGAGGAGGCAGAGGGAGGGAGCCAGCAGTTTGTGCAGGGCAGGAGAAGCCTGAGGTCCTCACCTAATGACTGCAACCAGGACTGCTGGAACTGCCCTTGCTAAGCAATGCAGTCACATGATGTTTTGCCTAAGGACCGCTTTGCTTAGCGATAGAAATTTCAGTCCCAGTTAGGGTTGTTAAGAGAGCACTACCTCTACTTCATTACAGGTTAACCCCAGCAGTTCATTGGCTACTTTGCAGAGAAGGGAATGGCCCCTCAACTGAATCAGTGGTTATAATGATGTCTAAGGTCTTATAGAACTACCTTTTCAAGTACCATACAATAACATAATGATTATAACACTTGCCTTGCAGGTAGAAAATTGCTAAGGATTCAAAACTCAAGATAATTTTTTTATTACTATTTTACCTTTTATGAGTTAGCTGCTTTTCTCTGGGCTGATTTGTGTTTTCAGTAAGTCCAGCAGTGCACTATTTTTCCAGCCATGTGACTTGAAAAACAATTTATTTATTGATTTGGTTTGATTTGATTTGATTTGATTTTGACCCCAAATTGACTCTGGGCAGCTTATAAGGGAAACAAAATAAAATATTTACAGTCAGGTAAATAAAAATACAATAAAGGAAATAAACAAGATGGAAAATCCAGACACCCAACCCCAAAGTGTACGCAACATATGTCAAGCTCATCTAACAGGGTTCCATCTCCCTTATCCCAAGGCCTGGGAGAACAGCTAGGTCTTTAAGGCCACTTATTTTAAAAAATCAACATAATTGTTTTTTTTTTATTTTTGTGTATGTGTGTGTATAATTTATTTGTTAAATCAATTTGTATAGCTGCCCACTTGACACATACATGTAAAAGTACATATGTCCAATAAGACCAGTCCACTCACATGAAGGAAAGCGACTGGCAATTGATTTCCTGGAGTGGAGAGGTAGGAGGACACAGCAGCAGAGAAACTTTCCAGTGGAAGGACATGGCAGCCTGCAGTCCTGACTGAATATCTTGCAAGCTGCTGTCACAGTGTCTCAAGCAGGATTTTCTTGAGCCAGTTTAGGATCAAGCCAACATGAGCATAGGGCAGGAGCAATTTAAAGGTGCATATATGCCTTTTAAATTATACAACATATATTTCTGCTGGATATTATACTGGATGTTTTAACTATTGTTCTCCATGAGTCTGTTTGGATTTGGTGACATACAAATCTAAGAAATAAATAAATTTTCCAGGCCTGCTTTTTCTCTTCTCTTTTTATTATTATGATAATTAAGTTTGAACTTATTTTATTAACAGTATTGGGTGCATACTTTATTTTTGTTCATTAGTTTAGCACAGTTTTAAAAATTACTGAAAAAGTAATGTCAATCATGTCACGGCTGGAAAAAATATGGCTGCTTTAAGGTCTTGCAGATAGATGCCACCTCTATGCTCCTGCAGACTCCAGAGTCTATTCTGGAACTCAAACTAAACTGCTATACATCCTAATACATATAAGAAAAGTTAGACAGTTCTCAATTCATATTTTCTAACACTTTATTTTTCTTAGGGAGAATAAACATGTATATATTATTTTATCAACAGAATAAAGTATGGAAAGGGTTACATATTTCCCTAAGTCATCACAATCTACTAACTAGTGAGTGTGTTGAATAAACCACACTGGCTGGGTTACGTATCATGCTAAGTTATATACCACAGTAGATAAATCATAATGGTTAGGTTCACACAACATACTAAATCAAAACCCCCTAAGCCTCATTATGGCTGTGGCATATGGGTTTTAATGGCCTGGGATGGCTGCAGTTGTGCTGGGGTGAGTCAGCAAATGGAGTAAGAAAAGCATAGAAGAAGCTCAATTCTGGCCTTGAAGGGCAGCTGCCCTCTCATAAGTGCTGATGACCTGACCTGACTGCTAGCCAGGACTGTTATAGGGAGATGTAGAGACAGCAGTCCCATTGAACCAGCCTAGTATGTAGGTATGGAGGACTAGAGCCCTGGGTGGGAGAGGACACCCACCTCCTCAGCTGCTGGGGAACATGCTGCCAGTCTGACCTAAAAATTGGAGAGAAAGAGAGAGGAGAAAAGGAGAGGAGAGAAAAAGACTGCAAAATGAAGTGGCTGAAGAGAAAAGATGGAGAGTGAAGTTACAGTACATCAGTGTGCAAAGCAGTTGCTGGTTCCTGGTCGAGGAGGGAGGAGAAAGGTCCACAAGTGACTTCCCTGAAAGAAGGGAAGTGAAGACCCAGAGAGAGGACATCTTCACCCAAGTCCCAAGCCAGGAAGGAGGGGTTCGTCGGTTGTTGGCAAAGCCCTGGTCCCAGGAAGAACTGGGCAGAAGATCCTGAGAGAGGTTCTTCTCCCAGCGGAGAAGTAGTAGGTGTTTGGCTGAGCAAATCCAGGAGAAAGTCAAGCCATGCTGAACACGCTACAGTAAATCCAACCAATTCCTTTCCTTTCACTCTTGATAAGCCCAGAGAAGGGAGGAAGCAGGAGAGCTAGAGGGGGATAGTCTCTGGGAGGGAGACTTAGGAGGAAACCTGACACCAGGCGAACACCAGGATTGTGTTGTATATACTTGTAAATACCTGCTGTAAATAGCTTCACTGTAAATAATAAAAGGCATAAAAACCTCCACTGTCCTGTTTGGCTTAGCATGATGTTTAAAGCTGACTAGTATGTCCAGGCAAAAAGGGTGGATTTCTCTAAAGTAAATAGAAAAGAGTTTACAAGTATATAATTCACGTAACATTGTAGGAAGTTTATGAAATTTATTCTGCACAATTGACTCTGCTATTTCTGTCCCTATTTGTAGAATCTCAGCAAGATTCATTCCAGCCCACAATTAAATATACTTCACTTAATTACAGCGAAAGAGCTCATTTTTTGATAAGTTGCAACCTTCTGCAAACATAACAAGAATATCTACACCAAATGTATTCCCTAAATCTATGGAAAATCTACATGTAGATCATCATGTGTCTCAAGGAAGAATTTTGAGTTTCAAAATAACCAGGTTCCTGCAAACTATTGATCTGCTTAGGGCTTCCCAAACCTTCTGCAATTGTGGACCACTAAATGAATGTTCAGAAAATGTGGGAACACACAAGTAACCTCCACACACATTTTCATCTTTCAGAGCACAGGAATTCACAATTTTGGGCAAATAAGATTATTATAATTGCATTTGTGAATGCCTTCCCATCCCTTTTATTTTTAAAGGCCTTTTAAAACTAAATTTTGTACCAAACTGTTACCCAACATTAAGTGAATTATTTTAAGTACCCCATGCCATGTGGATTCACAGATGGTAACTACATTTGAGTATTGTTCACTATTTCAGTTTTCTGAATAGTAGTATTCACCTTCCTACTCGTATTATTTATAACTTACATGCTTCAGTGAACCAGTTTTCAACTGCAGATCCAGTTTCACATAATGCATGGAGGCAGGGACCAAGGAGACAAGTAAGTCCTGATCTTGACAACTAATTGAGGCCTCAGTGGACCAAGACAGTAAGATCCAACTTTGCAGTTGCCTCTTAGGTGACTTATTAGGTATGAGGCCTAGTGTTCTGTTGCAGCAAAATTTCCCTCTTGTACTTCCAAACTCTGCTTAATCATTGTTTCAAAGTTTTGAGTGTTCCAATGTAGCCCTCTAAGTTGATAGTGGTGCCACATTCAAGATAGTTCATGAGAATAATATTATCAGTATCCCCCAAAACTGTGGTTTTGAATATGCTTTATGATGATATTACATGGGGTGATGCTTAATTTCTGGATCATAATGATGAACTCATGTTTTGTTGGCTATCACAAAGCAACAAACAAATTCCTTACCCTCATTTTTGTAGCATAACAACCATTCTTAAAGCTTCCATTTCTGCTGTCAGCATGTGAGGAACTAATTGTTGTTCATCAGTTTATCAAGCTTTCTCATGTGAAACAAATAAGCTCTTCCTGATTCACCGTCTTTATATTTTTTGGCCCAGTGG